GCGGTGATTAATGTGTTACAAGTAATCGGGATTATACTGGAATGATTAATTAAATGCACAACCCTTTTATATATACAACTCCCTTGTACATACCATGGCACATAAGCAAGCAGTGCCTCCAATATGGAAGAAGAAGCCATCTCACCAGCAACCATGGAAAGAATTATCAAAAGACGATCTCAAGCCTCCCTACCGACAATGGCTGGAGATATCCATTTCCTTTCTACTTCTACCAAAAGGCTTTTGGTTCCCCCCATTGTTCCTAGAAGGTATCATTCTGGCACAAGAACTCTTCCCGGCTGAACCAAGTGATATCTTCATTTGCAGCCCTCCTAAGAGTGGCACTACTTGGATTAAGGCCCTAACCTCTGCCATTGTGACTCGAACTCGTTTTGAAATTTCCACGAATCCTTTACTCTCCAAACTTTCCCATGATATTCTCCCTTTCTATGAGACAATTTTTTCGAAGCGCTGGCCACATATACGTCAGCCAGGGATACCCGCCATCGCTACCCACACTCCCTACTCTTGCTTGCCAAAATCTGTCCGAGATTCTAATTGCAAAATTGTTTATGTTTGCAGAGATCCAAAGGATGTATTTGTTTCTCTTTTTCACTTTTATGCCAAACTGAGACTTATGGAACATGAACCTTAATCCCTTGAGGAGGCATTCGAGATATTTTGCGAAGGGAAGTCGCCATTTGGACCATATTGGAACCATGTTTTAGGATATTGGAAGACAAGTTTGGAACGACCAAAAAAGGTATTGTTCCTCAAATATGAAGATAGGATGAAAGAAACTGCTCTTTATGCGAAAAAGATCGCAGAGTTTGTCGGATATCCTTTTTCTCTTGAGGAAGAAAGAAGAAGGGATGGTGGAGAAAATAGTAGAGATGTGTAGTTTCGAGTTTCTAAGCAATTTGGAAGTGAACAAAAAGGGAACGGTAGAGAGTTTATTAAAGACACATCAAAACAATTTCTATTTTCGGAAAGGCACGGTTGGGGATTGGAAGAATTATCTTACACTGGAGATGGCAGATCGTCTCAACAATATAATGGAGCAAAAACTAAGTGGCTCTGGCTTGACCTTGAACGCCTCCTGATCTTCATGCTTGCATGGATCATAGAGACTTAATTACCTTTTGCTGCCTGTACTGATTAGCAAACTAGCGTTTGTAATCAAGTTAGTAAACAGAAGAGGTTTTAGTTTTTGTGAATTTGGTCTTGGAATTGTAAGTTTTGGTAATTGAAATTCTGGTTTTGAGCATTTGTATCCTAAAACCAAGCAATTAATAAAATTGAATGCCTATTTGTTATCAATCGATAATGGCAGGTTAATTATCTAGGAATCTATGATTTTTTTTTTTTTTTTTTGGAACAAATCTAAAAGAGAATTTTGTAGTGCAGTCTACCTTACACTAACTGAGTATTATTTTCAACTAATAATAGAAGGATGAGTTTCTAATATAAGAGACTGCAGTTCACTTTTATCAATCTGGAATGTATATATATGATTAAGGGATTAAGGGGTTGATGTATAGATTATTTATTTAGAGGTCGGAGTTGGGCCTAATGGAGATAATGGACTCAAGTTAGTAAAGCTGATGTGCTTGTTTTGGGTGTGGGAGTCCAGGAGCCGTGTTAGGATGGACTTTGTAAGGGAGTAGATATACCCCATTCCAGATAAAATTACAAAAAAAAAAAAGAAAAAAGAAAAAAAGGAGAGGCTACAAAATAGCATATTCAAATGGGTTAGTGAGTATCAATCCGTGTGTATCCATTTTGATTTTAAAAAATAT